GTCTAAAACCGAAGTTAATCCTTCTCGAGACTCCATACGTAAAGGTTTGAAATTAAAAACCTGTTCTAAATATCCGTTTGCTAAAGACCTTTTGTCATTAAAACGGTCGACTAAAGCATCCCAGATAACTTTGTAATTGTTCGCGGTCGGAGTCAACCCCTGACAAACGTTTAAGGCTGGGCCCCGTAATCTCGATACTAAATGGGCCACTTTTTCCAAGTCCGAGAAGTCGACATTCTTGTGGACCAAAGTGGTGAACAATTCACAAAAAACCGGCCAATCCTGTGGTGTACCATCAAAGTAAGGGAGTTCCAGTCGCTTCAGTCATGCTACCGGCTCGGACTTGGGCACTAAACTTGTGCCTTCATGTCCGGACTTGCTGGCATTTTGCTGAGCAACTGATGCAATAAGTTCTAGCATTTCCGACAAGTCGGTGAATTTCGGAATAAAATCCTTGTCTAATTGTAAGGAAACTTCATTCATCCGAAATTCAACCTCTTCAAGCTCGTTTACAGTGGAATCATGCAGTGAGTAGGCATTCTGAAAAAAGCTCCGGTTTTTGCCTTCGTCAATTTTTCTTCCGAACTCGCATTCTCTTTACCCTAAGCAACAACTTTTCTCTTTTAGCGGTTAGTATTTTTAGTAAGTTTTCTGGTTTGGACTTCTCCATTTTTTTTTTCAATTGTTAGAACCAACGTACCGACCCGCGATTGCGAAGATCACGAACTCGCCGAACGAACGAAAATTAATGAATTTAATTTAATTAATTTAATCAATTTAAGGAAAATTAATTCGACAACCCAACTGATTCCGATCCGGTTCGGACAGGACCAAAATGTCTGATCAAGTGGACTGTATGGGTTGAAAATTAAACTAAAATAAAATGAATTATAAAATAAAAAGGAAAAAAAACACACCTCCGGTGACGATAGTCCAGCTACCTCAACTGAGGTAAAGGGGGATGCAAGGAGGAAAATAGTCGGAAAAGACAGGAAAAATCGGGACGGGGGACCTTCACCACGCAGATGTCTCAGGAACCTCACCAACCGGAGCGATGACGACGATAAATTCATAAAATGAAGACAATAAATGAAATAATATAAACTTTAAACTGGATCACGATTTGTATCCTTACATCTACTTTGTATCCTTTAATCCTTACGGCGTAAACAGGGGGTATGAAGGATTTTATTTTTATTAATTAAAATTGACATAAGTCCTCATCGTACTAACAAGAGTAATTAAAAGAAATAAGAAGAATAAGAATAAAACAAAAGTAACGTTTAAAAGCCAAAAGATATATTAGTCATAAATTATGGTATTGAGAGATTTGAACATGTGAAAGGCGAAGGGAGTTACCAAACTCAAAAATGCCTAATTATTTTCAACCCAATATTTCAGTGAAAGTGTAATTTAATTTTAAAAAATGCGAGAAGAGGCGGAGCCAGGTGTTTTTCTAAGTTCTAAGACTTCGACGGACTAATAAACCCAGACGATAAATCAAGAAGAAACTTTATCCGAATGGCCCAGGCGTGTTGCAAGCCCAAATAAACTTGAATCGTCCATTAAAAATTAACAACCTGATGCAATTTTTCAACGGTTCGACGTACGGTCGATGTTTTAAAAGATTAAAATTTTCCGGATCGAAAGTATCGGGGAGATCCGCCCTCCTGGATTTATAAGTGGGCCATTAGACTTTGACGAATCGCCTTTGGGTAATTTATGCCGGCTTCTTCCCCTGGCGATTTAACTGTGACTGGAAAGCTAAAACTGGATCGATCTAAACGCGATAATAATTATATTATTTTTGTTTCCTTGGGGAAATTTTTTTTAATGTCCAAAGAAAATGAATGGATTTATTAAAGACTAGAGGAACAAACACCCAACATCCATTTTTGTATAAAAAGGGAATTTTTCGTATAAAAATTTATAATGAAGTTACATCCGGTTAAAAAAAATAAATAGAATCTGCATAACAAAATGTAAATTTATTAATAAAAGGGTACCAAATTCGTCCAGATCATTTCGCCTTGATCTTGCTACAAGAGTCAATTTTAAACAGAAAATGATCAAATGCAGTCTAAATGCAACAATTGGTGTATAAACAAGCAATTATGTTTCAAATAATAAAAAATTTACCGAAGAAAACATAAGTAAAATGGGAATAATGACAGAACGCCGTGAATCGAGAAAATACTAAACACGCATTGCACGGGTGAATTGACACTAGTATATACGTACATGTATAATATAGCCCGTTATTTTTATTAATTTAGCCATCGCAAACCTGCAAGACCGAGCGGACCAACATACGAAAATGCTACCAAATAACTTTTAAATAATTTAGATAAATAATAAACAACAAATAAAAGGTAAATATATTAAAAAAGATAAAAGCTTCAGAGCTGGTAAAAGCTCGTTAAAAAACGCCGTAAATGCAACAAAATACTAAACACGCATTGCACCGGTGTTTGAAAAAATGGTAAAGCTTAAGCGAGTAAGGGGTTGAGCAATTTATACACAGAAAAATCTTTTTTTAATTAAATAACTACGTAACTAAATAAGCCCAACTCTGTGATATAAGAGTAACATTGTTTGGATGAAATTTTTTTAGCTGAATCACTAATTCCAGGACTTAACAATTACGCTTTGTTCCAGATTTTTTGTATTATCATCCTTTTCTTATTTCTGGTAAAACGTACTTTTGAATCTTTACAGCCCACTCATTTCTGTCTTTATCCCTTATAAAAGGGTAAAAATAGAAAAATTTAAAAAGAATTTTTGAAGGTCTGTTTTAACAAAAGAAGTCGGTGACAAAAAAGTGAGAACATCGACAAGAGAGTACGTACAATGAATTATTTAGAACCCCCCCTTTTAGCCGAAGGTGTAAGTGGTACCGGGAGGTGGGCGCTTCGTCAAAAATTGAATTTTTGGAGGTAGAGATTCGAACAGGACCCGACGGGCGGCACACCGGGTGCTTTGTTTTGTATCGATCAAGTCCTTTCACGGGCGACTTCAACTTCGCCATTGTTTCGACGCGCCTTTTATCAACACGGTGTCGCATCGTTCCGGCCGTTAAACGTGCGATCCGTGTGATGACTAAGGTAACATAAAAAAATATCAGCTTTCCTGGAGAATAAATTATTTTTAAAACCATCGATACAAGATTTTTAAGTGCAATTATTCTCAAGTACAAACAGAATGCGAAGTAGCAAAATTACATATATAACATAAAGATAACACAAAAAGAGAAAAAGAGTCGAGATTCATAGAGCATAAGAATAAATAACAGAGACAGGGTAAAACGAAAAGTAAACATAAAAGGAATATAGATGATAACATCATAGTGGATAGGGGTTATAAGGAACATAGTGGGGATAGGGACAGGGATAAAAGAAGCAGCCACAAGGCCTTCTGCCCTCGACCTGAGTAGATCTACTGTGCTCCCTTGTTTTCTTATAACTCACTGGACAGCTTCAGGTCATCAACCTCCATAGCCTTGCCAGGTGCTCCTTTGTGTAGGATCTTGCTTGTGGCGTTTCCTGTCCTAGTTGCAAGAATCTGCACCTACATAGACCTTCACAAACACACTGCACCTACATAGACCTTCACAAACACAAAATGTGTTCTGCGGTCTCCTCCTCTTCCTGGCAGTACCTGCACAGTATTTCTTCCGTCTGTACTCATATACTGTGTATATGCTTTCTTAAGTGGCAGTTGGTCAGGAGTCAACCAGAATCCTGGTTCGGTTGCGGTTGGCTTCCAGTAATTTTTTTGTGTTAGTTTTGCGGATGGCCCTTCTATGAATCTCTTCGTGTGCCTCATCCCTGTGATATTGTTCCACCAGGTTTTGGATTAAGGATCCATTTTTAAAAAAGATCCTCTTTTGTGACAAGATGCTAAGCCATAGGGATCGGGACCTAAAAAGTCCATGCTGGCTCCCTCTTTGGCCGACATGTCACCCTTTGCGTTGCCTCCATGGCTCGAGTCCCCACGGACCCATGTCAAGGTCAGGTCATTACTGTCGCTGCCTTCTGCCAGGGCCTCCATGCAGTTCCAATCACTTTTTGCCTTTAGTGCTGACTAACTGTCAAATGACTATCTTCCGGGAATGTATATCTAGCCTTTTTATTTCCTTGACGCAGTGTCCAATCGCTATGAGTTCCGACTGGAAGACGGTGACATGTTTATCTAGGATTACCGTCAGTACGGTCTTTGGATTCATCTCGGAGACTCCAGCCGCATTCTTGTCGGTTATGGAGTAGCCGGGATAAAAAAAGAACTTAGCTGGAATTGAGACAAAATAGTAACAAGACATGGTGGAGATATAGAGTACAGAGGTAACATACGGGGGAAAAAAGAACATGGGAGATTACTAACACAAAGTAGGAATAAAGTTAAATAAATAATAATAAATAATAAATAAATAATAAATAAATAATAAATAATAAAGGAAAAAGAGAAAGCATGTAATGCGGGTTTTCCTTCCATAAAAGATGTATTCTGTCCCACTAGATCCGCATAATCTCGCTTTTTTTCAGCAATTTCCACGCCTCGTTCGGTTTTTTTAGTTATCTAAGTATATTGACTCTTTTTTTCCTTAAAATTACTAATTGTTATGAAATAAAGAATTGAGGAGACTGCTATGAAAATGATATTTGTCAAGTGGCAAAACTCGAGATAATGTGCAGAGATAAAATGCGATATTCTGGCTGGTTTGGCGCTGGAGAAGAAAAAAAAATCCTTCGTGTATAAAACCGATCGTGGCCAGGCCTTTGAAGTCACCCAGGTCTAACCAACCTTTAATCACATACGTGTAAACAATTTTTTAATTAGATTGATTAGTTTTAAGTGGTTTGAGTCACTTATCTTATCTCGAAATTCGACATCCGTTTGAAATTAAAAGAGCATGCGGTTAAATTGGTTATTTTTGTTGATGCCCTAGGTTGGAGGGGCAACGGTCGCTGTTTTAGTCGGTACACAAAAATTGGTCAACTTACTGGTAAGCGGTGTTAGGACAAAGCTGGTTTTCGAATAGCTGAAAATCGAAAACAGAAAAAAATAACACAAGCACAGAAACAAAACAAAAATAAATAAACTTAAAAAAATTGAAAGGTAGGAAGAAAACATGGTGCAAGTGAGGAAATGGAGAGATAAAGGCAAAACAGGTAATCAGTAAAGACAAAAGCAGAAAAGGCAAAGCCAATTATGCAGATAGTAATAGGGGTAGAAAAAGGGTGGAAAGAATGAAGGCAGAAAGTTAAGTACAGTTTAAAAGATAGTACAACTGAGAGAAGAAAAAAGTGCAAACATAAATATTAAAAAAGAGTAATAGAGATGAGAAAAGAGAAAGAGAGCTGAAGAGGAAGAACTGGGGAATAAAATGTGTAAGAAAACAAGTCAAAAAATAAACACAAAAATAAAAAAATAAATTTATAAAATTGTGATGATGGGATAAAAGTGTTTTTTGTGGTGGTAGTGTTTTCTAAACACGTCCTGACTTTTCCCCCGGTGGATAAGCTAATTCTAATCCGGGATTGAGCAATCTTGTCGGAACAAATATTTATTCGGGGTTCATAGGAAAATAGGAAGAATAAAAGAGACCTGGAAGAAAAACGGGCAAACAAATCAAATACCCCCCACGTCTATTTTCTACCATGTCAACCGATGTCCATCATTCCACGGCTTCGTTTTATCAATTCTAAATCCACCCGAGGATGGAAAAAGGTTTATAAATAGAGATAAAATAAAAATCGATGACGGTTTCTCCCGGACCTCCAGGGGAAAATTATCTATCACTGTTTTATTTTCAGCCTGACAGAAGGCAATCGTTGAATGAAATGAGGCGAAGGAGTGTCAAGTCAGGGATAAACAAGAATGATAGTAAACACTGTTGCATAGACGGTTTTCCAGAGATGTCCGTTTAAAAATCGGTTCTTCTGAAGTAAAAGGAAGAAATTGCGTCAGCGCGTGTGGCAATTAGCAGTCTGTACCCGATCGAAGACCCTCGATTGACCTCCCCATCGGGTCTGATTGGACCGGATTGGAACTGACGAACCTTGGGAGACGAAATCTCTCTGACTCAGGGAAGAAAACCTACGGTTTGATTTGCAAAATTCTTGTACTAAAAGTTTCCATAACTTTAGCTTTCAAACTATTTTTAATCTTTAAAAAATGCCCCCTTTATCTGGACAAATTGCGTTCAAATAAATTCGAAACAAACGAAACAGAGCGGACCATAAAAATCCCAGCAATGGCCAAAATGATAAATTGTCCAGAATACCTACCAGAATAATTTAACTGAAAATACATTCTTTACCGGCCATTATATGTTTACATATTATCAAAACAAGCGAGACAGAACGGATCCACGACTTACTGAAAGCAAGGTTTAAGCTTGTAATCAAAATAAAGGCCAAAACTAGAAAAATGGCTATAATGTTTTTCCTCTGAACCGGTATGATTCTTATAATTGTTTCGCCAAACACTATCGCAAAATGTAGTGCATAACTTTTCGACCATCACTAACCTACACTATCATGAAATGTAGTGTGCAACTTTCCCACCCATCATTAACCTACAATATGGTAAAATAGGGCTTGTTACCCTACCTATTGCTAATAAACACTATCATGACATAGAAAGTGTACCATTCCTAGCCATCACTATCGTGAAAAAAGGCGTGTGACCTCCATAACCATCACTACCGTGAAATATGGAGAGTGACCATTCCACCCATCACTAACTAAACTACGATGAAATGAAATGTGTAACGTTCATACTGATCACTAACCTACACTATGGTGAATATGGCTTGTAACCTTCCTAACTATCACTATCGTAAATATAGCGTATAACCTTCCTACCCATCAGTATAGTGCAATACGGTATGCAATCTTCCTACCAATCACTATCGTGAATAAAGTATGTAACCTTACTACCCATCACTATCGTGAATATATTATGTAACCTTCTTACCCATCACTATCATGAATATAATATGTAACCTTCCTACTCATCACTATCGTGAATACAGATCCTTTCTACCCATCAGTAGTGAATATGGCTTGCAACCTTCCTAAATATCACTAACCTACACTATCATGAGGTTTAGTAGTAGTGTACCATTCCTAACTATCACTATTGCGAAATATGGAGAGTAACCAATCCACCCATCACTAACCTACACTATCATGAAATGAAGTTTGTTACTTTCATTCTAATCACTAACCTACATTATGCTGAATATGACTTGTAATCTTCCTACCTATCACTAATCTACACTATGATGAATATGGCTTGTAACCTTCCTGCCTATCACTATCGTGGATATAGTATGTAACCTTTCTACCCATCAGTGTAGCGGAAAACGGTATGTAACCTTCCTACATATAACTAACCTACACTATCATGAGATTTAGTGTATCATTCATACGCCTCACTATCGTGAAATATGGCGTGTGATCTCCTACCCGTCACTACCGTGAAATATGGTGTGTAACCTTCCTATCCATTATTACCCTACACTAAACGTGAATTATGGCGAATAACCCTCCTACCTTAAAGTGGGTTTCCGGACATGAAGGCATAGAAGGAAATGAAACAACCAGCCAAAAAAAGGGGCAACTCTCTCACATATGGGACCAGAACTAAGTCTCCAGAGCGCGTGATTAAGTTGGAACTGGAAAAATGGATTGAGAAAGAAAAACGCAAACCCTGTACAAATACTCCAGGTATGAGGCGAAAGAATTCCTCTCTCTCAGCAGGCAGGATTTGAGGAGGATTATAGGCATTTATGCCGGCCACTTAACTATCACCTTAAGAAGATGGACAAGGCACATATCCTCTGCGAATGTAAGTCGTTAGCTTCTTCGGTAGAACATTTCTCAACCCAATGAGATCCACGAAGAAGCACCAGCGCACTTTCCAAGGTGGATACAAACAATGGATACAAGAACTAAACTTCTTCTGGTTAAAGCTGATGATTAAAATAATTGCTCGAGCATATTTTTCCATTTGAACTTGTTTCATTCTTGAAAATACACGGTTATATGGCGTATACGGTCAAATAACTTCAAAACAAGCGAGGCAAAACAGACGGCGCAGCAAATTTTTCCGTTCAAGCTTAGTATCAGAGAAAATGTTCAAATTTCCTGATTTGTTTTGGGCAATACAATTATTTTTCCATGTCAGAGAATCAACCTTTTGGACAAAACTCTGGGTCTGCTTTTTCCAGCTTTTTCTTGTTGCTATTATGTATAATACGGGACTAATCATGTTTTGCAAAGTGTTCTCTTTGTATCGAGGTCGGGAACTGTTCAACGCGCAACGGTTGACCGACAGGGTGAAAAGTACTGCACGCAATCGATCGGAAGAATCCTGCTGCAGGTCAATTCACAGCAGAAGGCAGGAATGATAGTACGGCCTATGGGGAAAAACTGGGGGGGAAAACAGTATCAGCAGATTCTCGACAGATTTTCCGCAGCTGATTCCGGACAAAATCCAAAACAAACGTCAATAAAGCCACTCCGTTGAAACCTCGACGATCAAAAGAAAACATTTTTCTTTTGGCGTTTATCGTTTATAGAAGAATTTGCAACGCAATCGCTTTTAAGTTTGCTGTTTTGCTTGTAAATTCCTCAAAGGAACGGGATAAAAATTTAAAAAACCAAGCCAAAGCTAGACCGATCTGCTACCCTACGACAAAACTTACGGTAAACCGGTAAAAATTCGATTACATTCAAATCCGGAAATGTAATAATCCTTCCAAATCTAAGAAAGCACAGTCTTGAATATATTTATATTTTTTAAACTAACTAGGTATTAATCTAATTATATATTTTATTCTTTACTGGCATTCTTCATTGTTGTCTTAACATGAGGCTGATGTACTATTCTTTATGTTAAGTTCGACTTTCTTAATTTGTCTCTTCAATTCATTAATAACTTTATTCTATGTTTTACTTGGACTCATAATAATTTTCCTAATGTATACCTTGTTATTATTTATTTTAACCTAACTTGTTTAGATGATTATCACTAACCTGCACTATCGTTAAGTAACGTGTGTAATCTCCCTATACATCACTATCGTGAAATGTGGAATTACCTTTGCACCTATCACTAACCTACAATATTGTGAGGTATGATTATCGTGAGATCTTATGTGCTCCCTCCCCTACCCCTCACTATCGTGAAATATGGAGGGTAACTTTCCAATCCATCGTTCATCTAGACTATCGTGAATATAGCAGGTAGCCTTTCGACCCATCTGTATAGTGCAATACGGCATATAACCTTGAAAAATGGCAAAAAGGAGGGAAAATTCGAGAGGTGAGGTTGAGATGGGAAGTTCGTGTCCGAGCGGATCGAAGTCAATAGTTCAAGTGGTAGAGCAGCGGTATTTAGCCGAAGATCGTGGGTGTGAATCCCGCTCGTGACACTGACTTGTGTGTACTTTTGTATAACCAATACCTTTCATAAAGATTAATTAATTGAAAAAAAAATGGTGTGTAACATTTCTACCCGTCAGTATAGTGCAATACCGTATGTAATCTCCCTACCAACCATCGTTCCACCCAAACGTGAAACATTTACATGGTGTATAACATTCCTATATATAGCCAACACTATCAGGAAATGTGATCACTTATCTTCCCATCCATCCTTATTTGTGTTCTTATTTTTAAACCTACTTCTTTTAATTCAGCATGGAAACTGTCAAATATTATTTTTTTACAATAATTTTACCTTGAATAATATTCCTATTTTCCTATTCCTGGTTTCCCATTATTTGTGTATTTCTCCTGTTCACTTTCTTCGTTATTTGTATGGTTTATTTTCTAAAATTGGAAGTGTTTATTTTTTATAATTTAACTATTAATGCTTTTCCTCAATTTAAGCCATTGCCTGGGTTGCTGTTTGAGTTTTTCAACTTGGACTTTCAATTGCACGTTTATTACCTAAAAGTAGACAGCACAGTTTTTCTTGTTTCTTCCAGTTGTGTTCATTATTTTAACTTGTTCTTCATCTTGATCCTTTCTCCTTTTTCTTAATTTAATGTCAACTAATGTTGCCATGTTTTGTAACGTTTATTACCTAATCTAAATTATTTTTTAAGGGACGGAGAAACAATCGTCAGATCTATTGCACTAACTGACCCGGTATAAGTATTCAGATGAGTGCATGCTCCATCATTCAGTATTATCCAGTTTCCCTCATTAATAATATTTTCCAAGACAATCCCTCCTCGATTATTTGATGAACAACCCCAGGTAATGGAGTGAGCATTAAAATCACCCATAATCATTGCAGGGGACGGAAGTTGCGAAAATAAATTTCTTACTTCTTCTTCTGAAAAAAAGTTATTAGGAAAGTACACTGAACATACAGAATATTTTAACGGAGCAAGCACTTCAACTGCTACTGCCTGGAGATTNGCCGAGAGGGCCTTTGAAATGATTTTGGGAAATTTTGAAAAATTGAAAAACAGATGGCGTTTAAATAAAAAGAGAAAAACTAAATAAATAAATCTTGCCCAACCCTGAAACCAGGTTTCTAGAGAGATTCAGGCCCCACACTTCCCAACACTTCCCAATAGGGAATGCGAGCTACAAACTAGCACCCAGCAGACTTGTCTAATCGTCCAAAAAAATTATCCAGTTGAACTCACCTCACCAAAAAACACTTCAAAAAACGCTGGGCTGACAAAGGGACGTCCTAGCTTCCACAACACACCACTGTCATACACTTATTAAACCAATATACCTCAAAACTTCGGTTTTTTCTCGGAGCGGAAATTCTTGTTTGTTACACGTTTTATAGTCAGGTGATCTCTCCATCATTCTTGTGTTCTGCTCAACTGTACTACAGATAATCGTAAATACTTCTCATTTTTTAAATTCTTTTTCTTTTACGAATAGACTGATTTGAAAACATTAATTGGTTACTCACCCTTGTGTGAGGGTTCGAAATCCAACTTCGTTTACCTTGGAAACGATTATCACGCCGACCCGCCCAGCTGGGTCATCACAGGTGACCATCATCCCTAGCCAGGTACACCCACAAATCTTAAACTACCCCTTATTCAAAAACCCCTAACAATCTTCCACTTCGCCTCTCTTAGTTCTCAATAACACCACTTCTACATGGGGTCCTTGGGGTTAGAAGTCCAGGAGAAAGTATCTTTATCTAGTATATCTGCTCTTTTGATATTTTGATGTAATATAGCCAATCCAAAACAAAGAAATTAAAGACTTCAACTTAGCCCCTAAGAGAAACGAAGTGAGCTGCAGCCGTCAAAATGCAGGCACCTGGAAAACCCAACACCAAAAGTTGGGAAAATAACAAATGCAATTTATCCCCCTGTGGATTTTCGTTTGGCCGTTTCTGATGATCCTGGTTTTGATCGGCCATTCGGCACTTCGCCATCTCAGTGGTGTGCTTGTTAAGACCAGGTTACACATTGCATATCGTTTGGATTAGGTATCCTAGTCCTTTTACATCGAAAAACACAAAAATTTTTACGAATTTTTTGTTTGTTTTTTTGCGTTTTTCTTGAAAAATAAGTTAAAAACGAGTCCTACAAGTCTTTTACATCGAAAAAGACAATAAACATGTTTTCGATTTTTTGGGGTTTTCTTGAAAAATACGTAAAAAAACATGTCCTACGAGCCTTTTACATCGAAAAAGAAAATAAATTTTTTTTCGATTTTTTTCTCGTTTTTCTTGAAAAATACGCAAAAACGTGCCTACGAGCGAGCCTTTTACATCGAAAAAGACAATAAATTTTTTAACGATTTTTTGGGGTTTTTTCGTTTTTCTTGAAAAATATGTAAAAAACGTGCCTACGAGCCTTTTACATAGAAAAAGACAATAAAAATTTTATCGATTTTTTTGGGGTTTTTTGCGTCTTCCTTGAAAAATATGTAAAAAAACGCCTATAAGCCTTTTACATCGAAAAAGACAATAATTTTTTTTCGATATTTTTTTTCGTTTTTCTTGAAAAATACGTAAAAAAATGTGTACTACGAGCCTTTTACATCGAAAAAGACTACATTTTTTTTCGTTTTTCTTGAAAAATACGTAAAAAAGCGTGCCTACGAGCCTTTTACATCGAAAAAGGCAAAGATTTTTTTGGGATTTTTTGCGTTTTTCTTGAAAAATACGTAAAAAAAGTGTTCTACCAGCCTTTTACATCCAAAAAAACCACCCTTAACGATTTAGGATGGTTAAAAATGATTAAGAGTATTTAGAGATGGTTACAAACCAAAGTTCATGATACAGAAAAACCCGTGTATCAGATACATCTACATTTACGATCCAATAAACTCCACCCACAATTTTCTATCAATTATACAGTAAATTTTGTTAAATTTTTTAAAACGCTGTGCTTTTAATTCTCCTTTTTTAACTTTTCTTTGCTCTCAAATAATTCCTCCATCTTTCTTGTTGTATAGATTATTTTAAAAACATTACTTTAGTTGTATTGCTAATTTTTTGTCTATATTATGCTGTTCTATATATCTTTTTTACTTATTCCCTTGATAAATTTTTTCGTTCTTATCTGTACTTTGCTTCACCCGGAGGCATTTAATCAGAATATTTTAGACGAAAAGAAAAATGAAAAACACTCGTTTCTCAACTTACAACGGTTATTTATTTAATTTAATACCACGTTGAGTCCCAGGGCAATTGCTTCTTTGCCTTATTTCATCCGGCGTAGTGCTCTTTCCTCAAGAGATTGAAACAATTTACATTTCCTCCTATCAGCTCCTTTTCGAGTCATTTTACAACAGGCGAACGATAAACTGTTTTAAAAGAAGAAGAAATTTTTTTTATAGTCAATATTGACATTCATCCATATTTTCTTTTCGACTATATCAACAGCCGTTCCCTGTTGACCATAATTCATCATCTCGTTTATAAAAACCGAATAGCTCCAATTTATTAAGGCCGAATGTTCCCACGTGGATGATTTCATTCCATATTGTATACAGCATTGTATAAAACTCTTCATCATTTCGTTGAGCCTATTTGTCTATGTCCACATTTCAACTCAACCGATTGTGTTCAAGCTGTAATAACAATTGGGACGAAATTGGTCGCTTAACAAATTTACATTTATTAACTCAAATCTGAAGAAAACTGATGTGACTTTATTTAAATAGAAAACTATAGCGACACTACTTAAAATTCCAGGCTCAATCTAACAGATAAGATTTGAAATGGACAACAATAAGGACATATCCAGCAAAATCTGTAAAAAAAAAAAAAAAAAAAAAAAAAAAAAAAAAAAAAAAAAAAAAAAAAAAAAAAAGGATACGACTTTAAATGAAAAAACAATTGCAACCTATCCATTAAAATTCAAACTTTAAACAAAGGTATTAGACTTTAAATGGAGCAAAAATATCGTAACACATCCTTTAAAATGCATTTACTTTAAAACTCGAACCTTAAGCAAAAGGGACTTTAAATGGAAAACAATTGCAATAAATCCTTTAAAACTCGAACCTTAAGTAAAGGGGACTTTAAATGGAAAACAATTGCAACAAATCCTTTAAAACTCGAACCTTAAGCAAAGGGGACTTTAAATGGAAAATAATTGCGACAAGTCCTTCAAAGCATGAAACTAACGCAAACGGATGGAACTTTCAATGGAAAAGTTGCAACAATCCTATAAAACTCGAACCTCAAAGCCAACATACTTAAAGAATAAGAAACTAATCCATTTTTTAAGAGATAAATATTTAAAACACAAACCTTAAGCAAACGGAACTCTACGAAACTTTAAAAAACACTATGAAAAATCCATTTAAAACCTCAAATCTCATTCATTCTCGAATACCCTTGAATTAAGTGTAATTAAATTACATTAAGCCTAATCTAAGGTCGGCAAAAGCGAGTCGGTTTTCATATTTACAACATCGTGAACTTAATCGATAAGAAAATAAGACATAACTGAACTAAACGCCGTTAAGTTGTCGGAAACACAATTTGGTTCCCTCGGGCTTTAATTTAAGTTCGACTAAAAACCCATTTCAACTTTATATAAATACAATGAGAACGAATTTAACACAACAGGTAACATTAACCACCAACAGTTTTGGCTAGAACTTAACGGATACTAATTTCAGTTGACAAGAGTATCAAACATGTACCATGAACTTAAAAGAAATACGAATTTTCAAAGAACAACAAGTGTCACTCGTCCTTTTAAAAAAGACAGGTGAACATAACGGGTACTTAAAAGGGGACCATATGCGGCTCGTCCTTTAAAACCCATAAATTTCTTGAACCGGAAACAAGTGTTACTCATCATTTGAACCCTAACCACAAAGAATCCTATTTAAAACGAGGCAGAAAGTGAAAAACCACTGATAAGGTGCGGGGATTTCGAATTATGTTGGAACTCTATTGACGAAGGGAACTTAAAAACAAATAGGGGAAATTGCTTGCTGGGAGGGGAAAATGATCTAAGCCTAATTAGTTTTAAAACTGTCTTTGGAACATAATGGATGCCGATTTTTTTAAACTGGGAATGAAACAACAGGCGCTTTCTTTTTTTAAATCATTACGTTTAAATTTGTATTCTTCTGTGTATCTATAAATAATTATTTTATTAAGTTTCACGTGGATCTTCTGGATTTTTGTTTTAATGGATGAATTCTTGAAAAACAGGAGTTTATGGTTAAGGAGAAAAACCGGTAACACGGTGAAAGGCCTGCCTTGCTTATTATGTGAGTGTGAGTGTGAAGTGTTAAGTTCATCCGGTTGTTTCCGAGATGTTCGGTTAAACAGATTTGTCCTTTGTTGTGAGTGTTTTTTTTAAGTCGGGTCACCCCGTTTCGGCCCCCCTGATGGGGAAAATTGGGTTGGAATGGTAAGATCGATAAACGTTCTGGGTCTTTTACCTTGGCGGAGTCTTCGGAAGCGAAACTCTCCTCATCAATCAATGGCTGGCCGTCCTTTTTGATTTTCTCGCACTTCATGCTATACTTCATCCTAACTTGTGAGCCGAAGGCTGTTTCCAATTCTTCATCAATGGAAACTGCATACTTCTGCCTTAAATGACATGACTGGCGACGTCTGCACTCTGCTGTTTCCACTCGGTCTGGTGCGCCTCCCGGCCGCTGTGAGGCCCGTTTCGCCCCTTTCGGCAGCGATAGGGAGATCAGCTGTTCCGCTGGGCAAACGGAGCCCGCCAAAATTCAAATTTCAAACACTAAAACAAAAACTTCAAAAATTAAATATTTTTTATTTTAAAGGCCCAAATAGGGTTTTAAGCCCCCTTAGAAATATATAAACATATCAAAATAAGGAAAACAGCAATAATAACAATAAAATACACAAAACGATAATATATTCTTAAAATATTAATTACTTATAATGAAATGATGAAACCACATTATGAAAGACAATCAGAAAGAGTCAAAAAGTAAACGGGGGAAAAAAGGAGGTGATTTATGTCATTTTTAAAAATTCTGATGCCATGTACTTGAAATAAGGCAGCGAGAAAGCAGAATGTATATCCCGGGGAAGCAAATTCCATAGTCTTGACCCTGCAATTCTGAAGGATAAGGCTAAAGGTTTAGAGGAGGTTCATAATTGACCATATTAATTATTCTTTCTATCTAAGGTTTGAGATGAAAAATTAGCGTCACGACTGGGATTCGTACCCAGAACCTTCGGCCCAATACGCCGCTGCTCTACCACTTGAGCTATCTTCACTTCGATCCACTCAGACACCAACTCCCCATCTCAACCTACAACATTTCGAATTTTCCCTCCTATTCCTATAATATTAATTACTTATAATCGAATGATGAAAGAAAATCAGAAAGAGAATGGGAAAATAAGGAGGTGATTCATGTTGTTTTTAAAAATTCCAATGCCATGGACCTGAAATAAGCCAGCGAGGAAGCAAACGTATATCCTGGGTAAGCAAATTCCACAGTCTTGACCCTGCAATTCTGAAAGATAAGGCTAACGGTTTAGAGGAGGTTCATAATTGACCATATTAATTATTCTTTCTATCTAAGGTTTGAGATGAAAGAGTTAGCGTCACGAGTGGGATTCGTACCCAGGACCTTCGGCCCAATACGCTGCTGCTCTAACCACTTGAGCTATCATGACTTCGATCCCTCGGACACCAGCAGAGAAGCAACATTTTGAGCCGAAGGTTGTTGGTTCAAATCCCGCTCGTGACACTAACTCTTTCATATCGTGAAATGCCCTTAGCCATCAAAACACACTTAAAAAACAATAATAAAATATACAAAAACATGATTACAATAATTTATTATTTAAAATATTAATTATTTATAATCAAATGATGAAATCACATTATGAAAGGAAAGCAGAAAGAGAAAAAATAAGCCAAAAAACTGGTTGTCACTTGAATGCTCTTCCTCCAATCCCAACTGGACACCTCCATGAGGCCCATCCTTGGGGCGCCATTTTGGCACTGTGAAGTTCCGGCGGGGGAATTGAGCCACAACTGCTAGGTAGCAAGTCCTTCAAGGGCCAAGGAGCAGGACAAAGTATAGTTCTAGAGGTTAATCTAGGATGAAATATGATCCCTTGGTTTGAGATCAGAACAGTATCTAAAACAGGAATGATTAGCAATTTGAAAGTGATAAGCAGATTGTGGTGAAAAAATAGCTGTACAGTAAGAGAATAAAGGAATTATTAGGGATTTAATAAGGAGTATTCTAGTTTTCTGTGAGTGAAAAAGCTAAGGTATCAAAGAGCATGGAGGCTTGAGTAGATCTTTTTAATAATAGAGTCACATGGACATGCCATGTAAGCTTGGCTGTAAATAACGCTGAGATTTTTAACTTTAGGACAAAAGGGGAACTTTAACAGGGGAGCCGATGGTATGAGGAAGGGGACAGGCAATCTGTACTAATGGATTTTTATTGGAAATTAATAAGGACTGGGATTTGTTATAGTTTAAAAGAATGTTGTTATTTCTTGACCATTGGTTGGGAGAATGAGGATCACAGATGAGCTTAGAGATAGCTTCAGAACTGTTGCTTGTAGGACAGTGAATGCAAAACTGAGTTGCATAAAGCATAAAGATGAAATTGGGATAAATTGTATTGTATACAGTCTAAAGTAACTTTTGTAGGGTATAGAGCGAGAGGATTTGTTCTATTTTTTTGGTGACTCGCCCAGCACTGGTAAAGGAAACAATATTTTGGTAGAGGTGGTTCTGTTAGAATATATTAATGGCAAGTATTGGTCTGCGTTGACCAATTTCTGTAAATAGGCTTATTCAGCCAGAATCAGAGGCAACAGTGAGGGTGGAAGCTGCGTCTCTTTGACGATTCCCCTGAGTACATGAAAAGCTATCCTTGACTTAAATATTTTGCAAAGATTGTGAAGAACCGTTGTCAGGGATGGCTGAGTCATATCTGAATGTAGCAATGCATCTGTTCTTACTGGCCACCTTTGTTCCATTATTATCACTGGCCTTTGTTTTTGTGGCCTAAATTCCTGTAATTATCGTAAATATTTATTTTTTTATCCCTTTTACTTTATTATGTTTTACTTTTATTACTTCAACACAAAATTTAAAAAAAGTGTATCTTCTTGCGCTTTCAAACTTGACCAAATTATATTTGATTTTAAAAGAAAAAAAAAAAATTCAACATGTGAAAGACAAACCAAACAATTTTTCGCTCACCCTTGAAAATTCTGTTTCAACATACAACACTTAAGACTTACTTATGAATCAAGAATATTACTCATCCTTAAAAAAATAATCAACATTTGATATACATCAGCAACTTTCAAAAGAGAAAAACAAAGAAAAAAGAATATCTTTCATCCTTTAAAACAAAAACTTCAGTATTATTTAAAAATAATTATATATAATTAAATAGTTAGAAAATTTGAAAGGAAACCAAAACAGCTTTCACTTTTCATTCATATCTTAACGATGTATATGTAACTACCAAAAGAAGAAGTGTTGCTTCAAAATTTTAAAAATATATGTAAAGGATATTTGAGTGTATAAGGTAGAGGTTAAAATAATGTTTGAAAAATTGATGTCATGTCATTTAAAATCCATGGTTTGGTATGGTAATAAGGATACGAGGAAGCACGGTTTGTGCTCCCCAGGCGCTGCATCCTTCTGGCTTATTCCTTAAATAGTTCCTTAGTTCAGCAACCCTCGGTGAGGGTTGTTTCATCATAAGTTTACTATGTCTAGCACTGCTAGAGTTTATCCATTCTCCATTTGTTTTATTTGGATCCATTCTGCAATGGAGGATTCTATGTATGTTTTTGTAATCCCAAGTATAAGTTCCCAGCCTTTGTATGTTCTTGCAGACCCTCCTCTGGCCAGTCTGTCTGCTTTCTCGTTACCCAAAATTTCCCGGTGTCCTGGCACCCAAGATATCATCAGGTTGTTGTGTTTCCCGAGGTTTTGGAGATTTTGTATGTATTCGTTGACTAATTTTGATGTGATTCTTTTACGTGGTAATGCTTTAATGGCTGCTTGGCTATCAGATCTTATGGGGATTTTTTTGCCAGTGTAACCTCTTTTAAGATTTTCCAGGGCACGAGCATTGATGGCATGTATTTCTACTTGAAAGACCAAAGTGACCGATCTAATGACTTTGATTGCTTATATCTTGGGTTTGTACAAAAAATACCCGATCCGGTTCCTTCGTTTGTTTTGTAGCCATCTGTATACCATATTATTGTATCTGATGCTCTCCTGTTTTCTTCCTCTCCTTTATAGTCAGTTGAGACTTTGTAGGATGTTGTAAAGAATAGTCAGTCCTCATTTCTAAGAATGGGTGACTGATTTTGTTAATTATGGTTGTAAGCCTGAATTGTTTAGTTCCTATCCAATTTGATTTTTTCTGGAGCCTAATCGAGCTTTTCCTAGACTATCTTTGTATAAATATTTCCAGTGGAGGTAGGTTTAGCAGTTTCTAATGCATTTGGAGGGGTTGTTCTCATTGCCCCTGTGTTACATAGGTTTGCCAGGACCCGAACCCTTCTGTGGCATAGGAACCCACACTATTAACGAGTATCTCTGACAGAAGGACCAAAAGAAAATGAAGGAACTATGGAATTCACTCATCGGACACAGACAATCCAAGAATCTTCTAACAAATTTTGGAAGGAAGGAAATTACAGAATGTGTCAAGGGAAGCAGGAATAAACTGCGAATCCTAATAGGATTCCTAACAGACACTGCAAGTTAAATGGACACTTAAAGAAAATTGGAATAATCCAAGATGGCACATGCAGATTCTGCAAAGAGGCAGAAGAGACACCAACACATCTACTAACAAACTGCGGAGCTACACTAGCCCGCAGGAGGAAATGTTTTGGGATGCACAATGTGACCATAGAAGAGCTTCAACCACTGAAACTGGCCTGTCAATCAAGTTTCTTCAGGACTCAATGATGTGCTTTAGGTAGAGCATGGGGGATACAATAGCTCTTAAAGGGCTCAGTATACTATATCCTGAAATTACATCTACGTCTACATAGGTTGCTAATCTTTGTATGCTGCCTAGTGTTTAGGTAGTTACTTTTTGTTGAGCTTTGTTGAGCTCGTACCTGAGCGTAATGAATATGAATTTAAAAGAAATTGAAAAAGATAGTCAATCACCAACTTATCGTGTATGAATTTAAAGGAAACAAAAAAATAGCTGACAATTTTCAACTTAATGAATATGAAATTAAAAGAAAACAAAAAATAGTTATCAATCATTTTCATATTAATGGGTATAGATTTAAAAGACAAAAAAAAAAAATCATTGCCAATCATGCACTCAAAGGACAACTAAAAAAATAGACAATCATCCACTTAACAGATATGAATTTAAAAAAATGATTTTTAGAAAAATAGTTGTCAATTATTAACTCATAGGATGTGAATTTAAAAGAAAAACAAAAATAGTTTTCAATCATCAACTTAATGTGTACGAATTTATAAAAAAAACCCGAAAGTAGATGTCAATCTTCCATTTAATGAATATGAATTTTAAAAAAAAATAGTTATCAATCATTTTCAACTTAATGGTTGTATTTTTAAAAGATNAGCAAAAAAAAAAAATCATTGCCAATCATGCACTCAAAGGACAACTAAAAAAATAGACAATCATCCACTTAACAGATGAATTTAAAAAAGATTTTTAGAAAAATAGTTGTCAATTATTAACTCATAGGATGTGAATTTAAAAGAAAAACAAAAATAGTTTTCAATCATCAACTTAATGTGTACAAATTTATAAAAAAAACCGAAAGTAGATGTCAATCTTCCATTTAATGAATATAAATTAAAAAAAAAAACAGTTATCAACCATCTTCAACTTAATGGATGTATTTTTAAAAGACAAAAAAAAATTGCCAATCATGTACTCAAAGCACATCAATTTAAAAAAAAGAATATGAATACATATGAATTTAAAAGAAATTTTAAAAAATAGTTGTCCATCATCAACTTAATGTGTACGAATGTATAAAAAAAACCGAAAGTAGATGTCAATCTTCCATTTAATGAATATGAATTTTTAAAAAAAATAGTTATCAATCATTTTCAACTTAATGGTTGTATTTTTAAAAGATAAAAAAAATAATAATAATAAAAATTGCCAATCATGTACTCAAAGTACTCAATTTAAAAATTAATAGACAACATTGACTTAACTGATATGAATTTAAAAGAAATTTTAAAAAATAGTTGTCAATCATTGTCATAGGATGTGAATTTAAAAGAAAAAACAATAGTTGTCAATCAACTTAATGGGTATGAATTTAAAATAAAATAAAAAATAGTTCCTAATTATTAACTCAAATAATAGGAATTTAAAAGAAAACCAAGAAATAGTTGACAATCATTTGCTCATAGTATATAAATTTAAAAGAAACCAAAATAAAAAATAGTTATCAACATGATTAATATGACTTTAAAAGAAAACTAATATCCAGAAATCGTTTCAGTACAAATTAGTTCAATAAACAGAGGAGGAGAAATGTTTGGAGGCATAGCATTGGCCGGCTGGAGAAAAGAACAACAGAAGAACCGGAAGATCCAAGTACAGACAAAAATAATCTACTTTAATTATTTATCACTTAATTAGTTACAATTTATTTATTATTTCGGGCTTAAAAACCAGCCAATCTGTTTTTATGCTTTCGATTTATTAAGTAAGGCGTAGAAGCATACAATTTTTCTAAAGTTATAGCGAATTTTCGACGATTTATTTTATCTTGATTTATAAATGTTTATTAATAAATATGTACAAGTTTACTTTGTTCTAAATATACTAGGAATCAGCAGTAAAACGTTTTTAATACGTAATTTAGCAGTAAATTTTTTTATAAACATTCCGTTCTAAATTATTATATTTTTTTAAAGATACAAACACTATTTCTACGCCGACAAATTTTTCGTCGCAGTTTTTGTGAAATTTTGCTTTGACTTAAAACGATAAATAGTAGCTTTTATGGTTTATTTGTCAATCCCTTTCTTGTGCCAGCCATTTTGTCCATCCTCCTTCACGGTAATTACTCAACAAATTAATGTGTTTTCAATATTTTTTCTGCAAAATTTAAACATAGCCTTGAAAAAAGCCTATCGTTTTGAAATTAATTTGTCAAGGGTTCTCGTCGGGTTTAACATTGGCACGAAGCGATTCGCCAAAGAACAGGTTTTCAAAAAATTTTCATTCAGAACTTTTTGCAGTTCAAAATATATTTTAAATATCTAAACAAATTCGATTCAGCCTACCGACGCAAAATATCGTTCCAGAGACATTAGCTCTTGAAAAACGGTAAAATATAATATCATCATAAAATCCATTACAGTTCGTGGTCCGATTGACCAATTAACATTTTTCAGTTAATTAATACTTTTATGAAAAGTATTGGTGGAGATAAAAAAAGTCAGTGTCACGAGCGGGATTCAAAGCCACGATCTTCGGCTAAATACGCCACTGTTCTACCATTTGAGCTATCCAATTTCCAAAATTCCAGAGGTGAGGTTGAGATGGGAAGTTAGTGTCCGAGCGGATTGAAGTCACGATAGCTCAAGTGGTAGAGCAGCGGCGTATTTAGCCGAAGAACGTTGTGTTCGAATCCCGCTCGTGACACTACTTTTTTATCTCCACCAATACCTTTATAAAAATACAATATTATCTTAATTCGTCTTTTGTCATCATCGGCGTGGTCGCCATTATGCCGGCGGCGTCTTTGCGGATTAATCCAGCGACAGATAAAAGAAGCGAGGATAAGCGGACAAAAGACGATCATACGGCGTAAATATTTTTTTGGGAGTTGTTAATGGTTCGATTTGTATAGAAAATCGGGCAAGAGTATTGTTTTGTCTGAACTTTTATTTTCGCATTCTTTTATACTTGTTCTTCAGCTGGACCTTTTGTCGTCATTTAAACACAGAATTAACATTAAATAGTTGAGTTATTAGGGTAAAAGTGGGCTAATAGACGTTTTTCTAACAAGGTTTGGTGTTTGAAATGAGTTGGTGGCAGTTTTCATCAGCAGAACAAAAATCCGTTTTATTCTACAAATAACGAATTAAAAATAAAGTAGAACATAAAGTAAGAAAATAATTTTATTAAGTTAAAAATATTGCACATTGCAAACCACAAAATATTTAAAAAATAAATACAAAAATAATACACACAGTATATACAGAGTGGTGTACTAGTTATTGCACCTTGTCATTGGTATAAAAAAATAAATACATGAATAATATACAAGTTATATACAGAATGGCGTATTTGGCTAGAATCTGAATCTTTTCTGTCGATGAATCTGCTTCTGGATCTGCCTGTTGACTTTGGCCTCGATGCTTTCCTCTACTTCAACAACTTCTTCGATTTTTTCTAAAGGTTTTTCCACGATTTTTTTCTTAAACTGGAAAAGCCGTCTTTTGACTGTTCTGAGGGCGCCGTGTTCGTTTGCCGGTCCCATGGGGCAAGTCGTTCTTATCGATGAAAGTTGAAAATTTGGCCGAGATATCCACCCGCTCACGGGTGTTGAACATGAGAAATTCAATTTTGCCGGAGGCGAATCGTACTTCTTGATCAATTTTCTGCAAACAAAAAAACAAAAAAAAACATTAACATTAGCCGACATTAATCTTACAAATTTTTCTAAATTTATTGCAAGTTAAAATTTACTGGATTTATTTTTAAATAAAAACATAATCAATTTCAATGAAAGGTTTTAAACTTACCTCTCGTTATTAGTCTTCAAGTGATACAAGGCGAATACGAAAAACAGCACACACGAGTATGACACGATTACGATGAAGGGTATAAAATCAACGATGATCATCATGACGACTAGGTCTGCACGATACGAAGGACAAGTGCGAACTGTAGCCCTCGAAGCATTTCTGGACCTTTATGAATTACACCCTTCTGGACTTTCTTACCTGCGCCACCCACGACTGGGGTCACGCCCCCTAGCGGAAATAAAATACTAACAAATATAACGGAATTTAATAAAATAGTAAACTAACAATAATTTGTTATTTATATAAATAATAAATACACTAGTTTGATTTTTAAAATGTGAATAATTTGAAATTTTAACTTGCCTAGTATTTAATTTTTTTTAACCAAAACGGTTAAATTAATACTTTGATTGAATATATAAAAAAATATATTTTGCATTGTATAAATTCACTTTTCCACATCCAAAATGTAATTGTCATATGTAAACAATGTTTGTAAATCCCAGGCCCTGAAGATGATCTCAATAAAGATCGAAACGTTGGCACGATAAAGCAAATGTTTTTCTGAAACCTACATCATACCAGACCGCATCTCACGATTTCTAAATAAATATCGATTAACGGTCACTAATCACCACACATAAATACACTAGTTTGATTTATAAAATTGGAATAGTTTGAAATTTTAACTTGTCTAGTATTTAAAAATTTTTTGGACCAAAAAGGTTAAATTAATAGGACTTTCATATCTAGAATTTGTTTAAATGCCAATTCTAATATTTATTCGCATTTAATTCAATCATTTAAATATAACGCTTCGCCTTTTTATTCAATTCATTATACAAGACTAAATTTCTTTATAAACAATTAGATAGTAGATGAATTTAACAAATTGAATGACTGGTCCGTATATTATCGCTCTTTTTGTCTTCCGTTGAATTACCGTTGGCGTTGTACGTCGGCGAATTAGCGAAAGCAGAAAATGGAAATATTTATCGTTTCCCGTTTTTATGTCGGCGTTTATTAGATAAACATTAAACTCTCTTTTGATCGTTCATTGTCATCTTGCCTCGCATATTCTCGCTTGTTTTGTCTGTCGGACGAGTGTCTTGAAGTTGTTGAAGTAGAGGAAAGCATCGAGGCCAAAGTCAACAGGCAGATCCAGAAGCAGATTCATCGACAGAAAAGATTCAGATTCTAGCCAAATACACCATTCTGTATATAACTTGTATATTATTCATGTATTTATTTTTTTATACCAATGACAAGGTGCAATAACTAGTACACCACTCTGTATATACTGTGTGTATTATTTTTGTATTTATTTTTTAAATATTTTGTGGTTTGCAATGTGCAATATTTTTAACTTAATAAAATTATTTTCTTACTTTATGTTCTACTTTATTTTTAATTCGTTATTTGTAGAATAAAACGGATTTTTGTTCTGCTGATGAAAACTGCCACCAACTCATTTCAAACACCAAACCTTGTTAGAAAAACGTCTATTAGCCCACTTTTACCCTAATAACTCAACTATTTAATGTTAATTCTGTGTTTAAATGACGACAAAAGGTCCAGCTGAAGAACAAGTATAAAAGAATGCGAAAATAAAAGTTCAGACAAAACAATACTCTTGCCCGATTTTCTATACAAATCGAACCATTAACAACTCCCAAAAAAATATTTACGCCGTATGATCGTCTTTTGTCCGCTTATCCTCGCTTCTTTTATCTGTCGCTGGATTAATCCGCAAAGACGCCGCCGGCATAATGGCGACCACGCCGATGATGACAAAAGACGAATTAAGATAATATTGTATTTTTATAAAGGTATTGGTGGAGATAAAAAAGTAGTGTCACGAGCGGGATTCGAACACAACGTTCTTCGGCTAAATACGCCGCTGCTCTACCACTTGAGCTATCGTGACTTCAATCCGCTCGGACACTAACTTCCCATCTCAACCTCACCTCTGGAATTTTGGAAATTGGATAGCTCAAATGGTAGAACAGTGGCGTATTTAGCCGAAGATCGTGGCTTTGAATCCCGCTCGTGACACTGACTTTTTTTATCTCCACCAATACTTTTCATAAAAGTATTAATTAACTGAAAAATGTTAATTGGTCAATCGGACCACGAACTGTAATGGATTTTATGATGATATTATATTTTACCGTTTTTCAAGAGCTAATGTCTCTGGAACGATATTTTGCGTCGGTAGGCTGAATCGAATTTGTTTAGATATTTAAAATATATTTTGAACTGCAAAAAGTTCTGAATGAAAATTTTTTGAAAACCTGTTCTTTGGCGAATCGCTTCGTGCCAATGTTAAACCCGACGAGAACCCTTGACAAATTAATTTCAAAACGATAGGCTTTTTTCAAGGCTATGTTTAAATTTTGCAGAAAAAATATTGAAAACACATTAATTTGTTGAGTAATTACCGTGAAGGAGGATGGACAAAATGGCTGGCACAAGAAAGGGATTGACAAATAAACCATAAAAGCTACTATTTATCGTTTTAAGTCAAAGCAAAATTTCACAAAAACTGCGACGAAAAATTTGTCGGCGTAGAAATAGTGTTTGTATCTTTAAAAAAATATAATAATTTAGAACGGAATGTTTATAAAAAAATTTACTGCTAAATTACGTATTAAAAACGTTTTACTGCTGATTCCTAGTATATTTAGAACAAAGTAAACTTGTACATATTTATTAATAAACATTTATAAATCAAGATAAAATAAATCGTCGAAAATTCGCTATAACTTTAGAAAAATTGTATGCTTCTACGCCTTACTTAATAAATCGAAAGCATAAAAACAGATTGGCTGGTTTTTAAGCCCGAAATAATAAATAAATTGTAACTAATTAAGTGATAAATAATTAAAGTAGATTATTTTTGTCTGTACTTGGATCTTCCGGTTCTTCTGTTGTTCTTTTCTCCAGCCGGCCAATGCTATGCCTCCAAACATTTCTCCTCCTCTGTTTATTGAACTAATTTGTACTGAAACGATTTCTGGATATTAGTTTTCTTTTAAAGTCATATTAATCATGTTGATAACTATTTTTTATTTTGGTTTCTTTTAAATTTATATACTATGAGCAAATGATTGTCAACTATTTCTTGGTTTTCTTTTAAATTCCTATTATTTGAGTTAATAATTAGGAACTATTTTTTATTTTATTTTAAATTCATACCCATTAAGTTGATTGACAACTATTGTTTTTTCTTTTAAATTCACATCCTATGACAATGATTGACAACTATTTTTTAAAATTTCTTTTAAATTCATATCAGTTAAGTCAATGTTGTCTATTAATTTTTAAATTGAGTACTTTGAGTACATGATTGGCAATTTTTATTATTATTATTTTTTTTATCTTTTAAAAATACAACCATTAAGTTGAAAATGATTGATAACTATTTTTTTTTAAAATTCATATTCATTAAATGGAAGATTGACATCTACTTTCGGGTTTTTTTTATAAATTCGTACACATTAAGTTGATGATTGAAAACTATTTTTGTTTTTCTTTTAAATTCACATCCTATGAGTTAATAATTGACAACTATTTTTCTAAAAATCATTTTTTTAAATTCATATCTGTTAAGTGGATGATTGTCTATTTTTTTAGTTGTCCTTTGAGTGCATGATTGGCAATGATTTTTTTTTTTTGTCTTTTAAATCTATACCCATTAATATGAAAATGATTGATAACTATTTTTTGTTTTCTTTTAATTTCATATTCATTAAGTTGAAAATTGTCAGCTATTTTTTTGTTTCCTTTAAATTCATACACGATAAGTTGGTGATAGCCCTTCAAGAGCTATTGTATCCCCCATGCTCTACCTAAAGCACATCAGTAAATTTTTCATCGTCCTCTTGGATTTTGATCTTGGAACCCTTCGTTCTGCCTGGCTGACACGGCTTCCTCGGTGATGGTTTCCAGAATTTCCACCACTTTACCTTGAAATTGAAAATACTGTTTTTTCCCTTGTACTCTCTTTGCAGGACGTCTGCGGGAAGGGCGACGAACAGAGGAGATGCTCAAGCATGTGGAAAGTCTGTCGATGCTGGGTGGAGTCGAGTAAGGCCGATCCTTCTGCATCCCTTGTGCCTCTTGATTCTTTCTCGTTTGCCTGGAAAAAAAATTAAATAAATTAGCATGTCATTAAATAATTTCCAATTATTGCAAGAAAAATGTTACAGGGTTGAATAATAAGAAAGTTCATTTTTAACCCTCATATGAAAAAAGGCCATATAGAACAAAAAGTGGCCAATTTCTTTTTAAAATTACACAATAAATTCAACAGACCAAATGGTAATGACAAAAATTTACCTTTCTCTCCAAAGAGTCTTCAGGTGGAAGGTGCCGAACGTGTACAACAGCATACACAAATAAAACATGTTCACGGTGAAGTGTGTCAAATTGGCGATGATATTCATGATGTCCAGGTTTGCAGGTGCGAGATTCAAGTGCAAAATGTGGCCCTCGAAGCACTTCCGGGGCTTTATATCAACGGAGAGATGAGCCTTTGGACTTTCTTACCTGAGCCACCCCTAACGGCGAGAAAGTGTTTCATTGATTGCAAACGAGCCGTTTTACGGAAATAAAATTTGATAAAGAGAAAGGACAAATAATATTACTTCACAATTATAATTAACTTTTAATTATCAAATTACTAATAATATACATTAAAAAAAAGAAATTTCAACAGACCTTTTGTCCGCCTTCTTCACGGCGTGTATGAATAAATCAAATCGTATCATGAATGAGAAAGGATAAATAATATTAATTCATAATTGTAATTAACGTTATAATTATTAAGTTGCTGGTAAATTTGCAGAAAAAATTAAATTTCTGTAATAATTACAGACGAACAATCCTCAATATTGATGTTTAAAAATCATAATTCATAACCATTAATCTTTATTTCTGGTTAAATATTAAGTTGTAATTATTAAGACTTACTTGTAAAGAAATCAGACTAGTACAACACAGGTTACTACTTTTTACAATGCGAGAATATGCGGACCAGGATCACAAAAGATTTTCAAACTAAACATATTATATTACGTTTTTCCATTTTTCACTTAAAAAGATTAAATTTTTTAATTTGTTAAAAAAATCCCAAATTGTTCACTAAGGATTTAAAACAATGATTTTATTTAATATAGTTATACAGGGTGTTCGGCTACTCTTGTTACAAATTCTGTCAGTAGATTCTACATTCAAAATGGAACCAAAAAGTCCTAATTAACTAT